GTGTGATTTTAACGTGACAGAAAAATATTGTGATCGGAGCAATTTTGAGGACTTATCGTTCTATTGACGAGAATCGATAAGTTGATTTTGTCAGAGGTGTGATTTTAACATGACATATGTAAGGAAAGAATATTATAGCGTCTCACTTGGAAGAATTGCTAAGTGTTTTATCGTCAGGGCGATGAATTGTTATACTTGTAATTTGAACAAGATTTTGGGGGAGTTTGTTACCCCACTGAAAACAGGTTATTTATTGCTCTGCTGAGGAGAGCTAATAAATTGACAATGATTTGGAGACTTATCGTTCTATTAATGAGAACTGATAAGTGAATTTTGGGGTGTAGTATTAGCCCGATGAGAATTTAGTTTCTGCTGCAGAGATACAGATGTTTTGATTAGCACTCCGTTGTAGGCGTATAAAACTGCCTATCGGTCCCTTAACACAACTCGACGATGCCGATTCGACGAACCGACCATCGGGCGACGTATACAGACACAATTGTTAGTCCACAACACCGAAGCCAAGTGATACGCGACGAAACGGATTAACGAGGCTACGAGGCTAACGAACCGTACGCAAACAACGGAATAAATCCACTCACGTGCGGAATTTAGCTAAAGGGTTCGAAGAGTCAACGAGTCATCCAACCAAGAGAGGACTCGGACGAATCACGATCGAATCAAGATCAGTTTCGGATTCGAACTCAGAAGTGGATTTACTGTCAAATCAGGAATCAGATTTACTGCCAAATCAGATCAACAAATCAGAGTCCGAATCAACCACGAGACCGGACAAAATGGCAAAAAAAAAAACCACAAGACCTAGGGGACTCGGCCAAAACCGAGCCACCTATAGGTGGCTCGGCCAAGAGCCGGCCACCTATAGGTGGCCGGCCCAGATTTGTGCGCGGGCACAGTTCAGATGGCCTATAAATAGAGGGCTTGGTTCATTTGTTGAAGAGGTTGGAACTTTTGGAGGCGAAGCCCTGATGGATTCAAGACTCAGATCTAAAAAAGATCCAAGCTTTGGGACTTCGAGGACTTGCTCTTCCAGATCTGGTGCTCGGCGATCGTCAACGCCAAATAAGGCAAGAGTTCGAGAGGACTGGATCTCAGATCTACGCAGGCGTACTCCGGATCAAAGCTTGGTCTTTGATCCCGAGGTTTGGGCGATTATTTCCTTGGTGAACTAATCCCCCCGGCTATTATTTCGTTGGTGAAATAATACCCGTCGTACTGCGTAGATCCGACCAGATCTAGATCGCGCAGTGGTCCACGGATTAACCCCGGCGCAGGCGAAGAACCAACGCAAGCGAGCGACCGCAAAACAGGAGCTCGTGATTTGTTCGACATAAAAGGAGAAAGTTGTAATCTTTTTTATTTTTCTTTGATTTTATTGTAATCGGATCTAAAAAAAAAAGACCGGATCTTTGTAACTCAAAAAGCTGTTATCTAAGATGACAATGGAATCAATAATGAAGAAAGACACGATTTTCACCGCGAACAATCTGGCCGATTCGTTCGACACAAAGGGAGAAAAGTTGTAATCTTTTTTTATTTTTATTTGATTTTCGTTGTAACCGGATCTTATAAAAAGACCGGATCTTTGTAACCGATAAACTGTTAACAAAGTAATCAATGGAATCATCAATGAAGAAAACAATTTTTCCCGCGAACAATCTTGCGACCACAGTGAGAGCCGCCGATCTCGCTGCCGAGATCGGAGCGTCGCAGCCGCGGATCTCAATCCCGGTCGTGGAGGAGGTCGAATACGAGTTCGACCAGCAGAAGTTTGAGGAATACTTGTCGTCCTCGTCCAGATCAACCTCCCCCCGCAAGTCCAAAAAGTTCTCCTCTAGGAGAAAAACTCGTTGGTATGAAGACGTCGAAAACACCAACGAAGATCTCACCCCGTTTGATGCCAAAGTCGCATAGGGTGAGATTCCTCCAATTCCCAACCAAGGCAGATATGATCTAACCAACCCTTCTGCTGCAGAGGACGTGGTGACTCTCTCGAAGAGAGCCCGCCAAAGGCAACGTCAACGCCTTGCGAAATAATTCGCAAAGGCCATGGAGTCAGTTGACGGGATCCGCTACAACGCGGATCTGAAGAACAAGAGAGGCAAACAGCCTCAACAACAGATGAACGGCCCCTCTTCCAAGCCGCCAACAATGGAATGGATCCGTGTCAAACGGAATCGTTCGATGCTGGAAGAACGCATTCGCAAGCGCCGCGCACTATCAGCGCAAGCACGGGCTCAAGCTGAAGAAGCCCGTAGGAAGTTGCAGAAAGAGGTGCCCAAGAAGCCGCCATCAACCAGCAAAGTTTGGAGGCCGAAGTCTGAAGCGGCGGTTCAGACCAAAGAGCGTCAACTGCAGCCGTCGAAAGTTCAACTTCCGGCGAATCAATCCAAACCGCCGATGATTTCCACAACTGCTCCGGGAGATCCGCAGGACCATCCCAGAAAAGGAAGTCAGTCTTGGAGCGCCTCGGTCCACTTCCCGAGGAGCGAAGCAAAGCTCCAATCCAAAGACGTTTGGGTCCACTAAGAAAACCCCGAACAAATCAACATGATTGGGGTCGCCGCAACCCTCAACATGACAAAGAAATCATAGCACCCAAGCGCACTACTTTGCGCATCGAAGTTCAGGAGCCCATTGAGAATTCACGCCCACAAAGGCACGTTTCGAGGCGCGTGACTCTCGAAAGTCCGAAGAAGGTAATTCGCTCTCAGAAGGAAACGTTATCGTCTGATGATGATTGCGTTATACCTGAGAAATCGTGCCAACATACGATAGGTTGCTCCGACTTTCAAACGGAAGAGCTGTACTATCGTGCTGGGGGTACGAGCAAAGCCAGAAAGAGAAGTCCTCGAAGGCTAGAAACTCAGTGCCCTTGTTCAAAGCTCATTCGGACGGTACTGTCTGAAATTTCAGTGTTCAAAAGGCTTAGTACCGAAACGCCAAAACCAAGGCATAGGCGTTTCCGGCAAAGAAGGACGGTGGTTGAAGATGGAGGATTTCTGAGGGTCACCACTAACATGACCACCAGAGGGACATCAGCACGGGATAATCTCGAGTCAATTCTGAAAGCATCCCAGCGTATAACCCATCTGCAGTCTGGAGCCATCAAACGAAAGACTTACGGTAGGGTTCGGACAAGGGTACCTTCAGAAGATGAAGAGTCGGATGCCGGTTCGGCGGTCGCATCTGACAACACAGTATCCAGCGAGGGGCAACCCCGCGAGGCACTTATGATAAGTGCAGAACAAGTGGCTAAGATGCTTGAAGAGGCCATGGCTAAACAACAGGAGGCCTTCAGGTTCGAAATGCAGATGGCCATGCAGAACATGAGAGAAATGCACGACCAACAAATCCAAGCATTGACGAACCAGCAAGCCGAGACAAGTCGTCGTAACCAGGTTAATCTGGAAGATGAGGACACAAATGCAAATGAGACTCATAATGCAAATAATCCCCCCGTCAATGCAGGGGGTGGTAACGAGAATGCCAACGAAAACACAGATGAAAACTTGAAGATCAAGAACCTCGAGAGCAAAATCAACACATTGATCTCCGCTCAAGAGACGAAGAAAACAGGCATTCCCTGTCCATACCCAAGAGAGTGGGAATCGATCCCATATCCGACGAAGTTCAACCTAATTAACTTCACGCCGTTTAATGGGATGGGTTCATCCACTTAACATTTGATTTACTTTAAATCACACTTGGGGGTAATCTCCGGCAATGAGCCTCTGATGGTGCGGTCATTCGTCGGCACTCTTCGTGGAGCCGCCTTCGATAGGTATCGTCGCCTCAAGCCAGATAGCGTGAACAGCTGGGACGATATGGAGACCATGTTCCTCACCAATTTCTTCGATGACGACACCGAGATATCTATCGGATCATTGCTCGATGAGAAGCAGAAAGACGGGGTTAGATGAATTAGAATTTGTTATCCTAAGCCAAGGATATAGTATTTCTTCTTATATATATATAGGATTAACGTATGACTTTCATACAGGCTAATCGACTATGTGACGTTGTCCTTATTATTAATTAAGCAGTTGACTCCGATGCCTACGGTGTCTACACTATACATATGGATAAATTCGAATTCGTCACCCTAAACTAAGGACATTTATTTTTCTTAGATAGGATCGATTAAAGTATGACTTTTCGTAGAGGTTGATCCACTATGTGATGATGACCTTAGTTTAGATAGGATTAATGTATGACTTTTCATAGAGGTTGATCCACTATGTGATGATGACCTTAGTATGAATTAAAGCAGTTGACTCCGACACCTACAATATCAAGACTATTGAACAACATTACACGTACAAACTAACTATCAGCATATCAGCGAAATGAATGATATTATTACTCCTACTTAAGGTGACATTTGGCCAGGTGATCACTCCAGCACTACGGGGATCTATAACCACAATTAATTATACCATATATACCTTAGAATGCTTCCTCATCCAATTCAAAATAAGAACCTTAACTCAATTAATTGTTTCAATGCAAGCAAACTAGTTCACAAGTGACATTCACACTACAGTACATATGCTCTCTTATCAGTTCGCATCCTTACTATCATTTATCTTTTGATTCTTATTTGTTAGGAGTTTTATTGTCCAGTGTATGGCCATTTTGAGCCGAAACCCGTATATATAGTCGTTATTTCATACTCTTTCCGATTTATCTACATTTTTGTGATGATTTGAGACTATCTATTGTTATTTGATTCTACACTACTTTACTCTGAGATTATTTTATTTGTGTTTAGATATTCTGAGTAGTGGCTCAAATATAAATATTGTGGATGATTGAGGTGTTATGCAAATTACAATTGTTTATGATTGATTGCTTGAAATAATTACTAGATGCTATGTTCGTACGCGATAATTGAAATTTTAAATCATATATTCAAGTAGCAGAATCTTGCAAATGAATATAATCTTATTTTTATCTTTTTATCTAAATTTATGCAGGAAATTGATGGTGGCTAAAACTGCAGGTTAATCTGGTGCACGCGCTTTTCACTTACTGTGGTTTGGCATTATCGAACAATTTACAAATTATGTATATCAATGGAGACCTTTTAGCTAAACAGAGGATACTTTTTTGTTTTAATGAAAGAGGAATTTTAGTCATGTAATTTGGACAAAAGAAAAAAATTTGTACTAAAGTCATTGTAATGAACTAATGAATTATTCCTTATGTTTGGTTGTTTGCTTGTAAAATTTGGAGTTTCATTTCTTTGTTTGTGACATGAGCAGGTATAAATCATGGAGTTTTCATTTTTATTTGTTTTTTTTTAAATTTTGAAACTGCAGGTCAAAAAAATGTGTGATATATCTGGATGGTTTGCTTTTGCACGGCCAAAATTGAAAACCATACCCTTTGCTATATATAACCGTTCCTTTATCTCGACAGCTAAAAACCGTCCCCATTACTAAAAACCGTCCCCATTACTAAAAACCGTCCCCATTGCTAACCGTCTCCTTAGGTATAAAAACCGTCTCCATAGATCACAAACAAAACTGTTCCCATAGACAATAAAACCGTCCTCCTAGGTCAAACTCGAAATCGTCCCCCTTGATGTGTAAGCGTCATGATAGCTTAAAAATATAACCGTTCCCGTTGCCAAATAACTGTCACCATCTGTAAAAATATGAACCGTCCCCATAGTTAAACCATCCCCAAATGTTGCCTACGGGAACAATTTAAGAACCGTGCCACTTGGATCATGAACCGTCCCCTTAGACCAAAGACTACGGCAACAAATGTATCAGATGAGTAGCCGTTTCCTTANTTCCTTAGGCCGATGAGGACGGTTTTATTGTCTAGCAAGACGATTATAAACCGTCCCCATAGACCCATTATTTGGTAGTGAGTACTACCCACTGATCCAGTGTCACTATACAAGTAGTTGAGGAGGGGGGCGGGGAAGAAAAAAAAGGAAATTTTGGATCAACACGTTAATCTTTAAATGCCCATTTCGGACTGCACCACAGTCGGATATAATTAAGATGATCCATATGAGAGGTCCCCTTAAGCTCAGAACATATAAATATATAATCATACGTGGCCTACAAGATCACTACGGACCATAACCAAGAACAACTTAGCAAATAGTTAATAGTGCATGACATAGCAATCGTACTGCACGCACGCATCGCCGGTCTTCATGTCG